AAAAAAAAAAAAAAAAAAAAAAAAAAAAAAAAAAAAAAAAAAAAAAAAAGCCAAAAGGAGTGCGTCACAGACCAGTTTACCCTACTTCCTCAAGCGCCCACTGCGACCTGTCAACGCCGTCGTTGTTTCCGAGTTGCTCTAAAATTCTCCATTTCTTCTATCCACCATCCCGATTCTCGCCATTTGAGGTGTCCGAACGAGGAAGAATTCATTGTTGCAGAACAAACCTTTGATTTTTCAGGCAGATTAATAGAGATGGGAGACGTCTCAGGCGACGCTGCCGCTGGCGGAACCAAGGCCACAATCCTTCCGATTCCAGGAAGGAGGAATATTCTCATCACCAGCGCTCTTCCGTACGTCAATAACGTTCCTCACCTCGGCAACATCATTGGCTGTAATGTTCTCTCTCACTTGTTTATTTATGTTTCCGTGTCTGATTGATTGAGGATAGTGTCGTTTATCCGCATTTCTGAACGTTTGAGTTTGAATTGGTTCCTGTTTTTAGGAATTATGTTGGCTTCTGAGTTTTACTTTTTGTGCGCTCATTTATGTGATGCGGATTGTTGTTATGATCGTAAAAGATTGAATTGAATGTTTTGTATATAGTTGATTTCAGTGTCCTGTTGTACTTTCACCAAGCGCTGTTTTTGTTTGTGCAGGTGTGTTGAGTGCTGATGTTTTTGCTCGGTACTGTCGGCTTAGAGGTTATAATACTATTTACATATGTGGAACCGATGAGTACGGAACGGCGACGGAGACAAAAGCAATGGAAGAGAAATGTTCTCCTAAAGAGATTTGTGACAAGTAAGATTTCTTCTCAGGTTTTGGTTCGTCATGTCTTTTTGAGTATTTGCGGTCACTGATTCTAGAGAATAATTTCCTTGGCTTCTTTTTAGCCCATTAAGTCCATAATGTGTACTCGCTTGATGCTACAATTTCTGAATTCTCTCCGCTTTTTTACGAGCATAGTTTTAGAAATTGAACAGGAATCTGGATTTCAAGCTTGGGTATTGTCTCCTGGATTCGGATACTTTATTCATACTCACTTTATGGATGTTTCTTCGTATTCAATTTAGCTTGGTTCTCGTTTTGCGTGCATGTAATTTCGACGAGAATTTTTAAAGTTTATCTTTTCCTTCCTTGTATTATGGTTTGGTTTGGCTGAATTATATGTACTTGTACATTTAATCGACTGGTTAGAATGGATTTTTCTTTTTGGTGCCCTGCAATCCTTCTTTTTATCTCTTGAATGCCACTACTGTTTAGAAGTGAACTATGTCTCGGAAAGATTTGGACCTTATTTAACTATTTCTCCACTGTCAGGTACCACGCAATTCATAAAGAAGTTTATAATTGGTTTGGTATTAGTTTTGATGAATTTGGGCGCACATCATCTCCACAGCAGACCGAAGTTTGTCAAGCAATATTTGGAAAACTGCTGGTGAACAATTGGCTTTCTGAAAACACGATGCAACAGGTATAAAATTATTTATCATTTGAGTTGTTCTACTTCTGTTCACTGGTTTCATGCACGGAATTTATTTATTTATTTTACCCATAATTCAGCTTTACTGTGATACTTGTGAGAGATTTTTAGCCGATCGGCTCGTTGAAGGCATCTGTCCCACTCCAGGTTGTGAGTATGACTCTGCACGTGGTGATCAGTGTGAAAAGTGTGGGAAACTTCTGAATCCAACTGAATTGAAAGATCCCAGGTGCAAGGTACTTCATGGCTTCCTACAACTGAAAAACATTTGTTTTCATCATATACAGAACCTTTTATTAGGTATAGCGAACATTCCATGACTTTCAATGAAATTATGAAAAACATTCCACTGGAACATTCCGCTGCAGAATCAATAGACTAAAATTTCTTCTTGACTCATCATGAAAGATTCCTCTACTCCTTGCCAGTCGAACAAAACTCCAGTTGCTCGGTGGTGTTTTCTTTATCATGATCCTTGGGGTCTAATGGAGTAGAGCTTCACAAGAAAATACTGTTAACATTTTTTGTATGCCCTTTGCAAAGAATACATAAATTCAGTTGAATACATGTATTACTAGCTTGAATTTTATCATTGGTGTCAAGACTTCCCTTGGGCCAAATCCATAGGACACTATAACCTTCTTTTTGCATTTTCCTCTTTGCACACACTGGCGAAGAGAGGTACTTTGGCATTTACATCCTTCTTCTTCTCTCTCTCTTCCTTGTTTCAAAAAAATTATTATTGAGAATAATAATGGTTTGAGAGAAATCCTGTCGAGTTCTCATGACTGCAACTTAGTTCATATAATTATTATAAGGATGAATCTATTATTAACAAGGGAAGTTTGGAAAACCTGTCTTGCATGAAAAGAAGCCGGAAGAGTCTAGGTTAAAAGCTCTTTATCTTCATTGGAGGAAAAATTCTCACCTTGAAGCAAATAAGGACCAGATAGTTCATATTCTATTGTTGTCAGTTTGAAGCAATGTTTATGTTTATCTAACACATTTGCATGGTGAAGAGCCATAACTTTGCTTGAAATTAGAATTTATGTTATATACCATTAGTGGGTTCTATTGAAGCAATGCTAACAATATTCTGCTTTTTCCCACCTCTCTCTGTCTCCATCCCTCTGTTTCTCTCTTATTCTCAGATATGGGCAACATTCTTGTTTCATATTTTCTATCTGAAATTTGAAGTTAAGGATTATTTGTAGCCATTTACATTCTAGCGTGGACCTTCATTGGAAATTAGTTTCACTTTGGTTCACCCAAGGCTTTGTTAACAGTTTGAATTAAAAGCAAAAGGTGTGAGGTAGTGTTGTGGAAGCTATAGATTATCATTAATTGTTAACGCCTTCCTCTTAAAGAAGGAAAAAATAAATAAAAAAAACAAAAAAAACCAACCAAGCAGGACAAAAGAACTCATAAAGTCACGCTTATAAATCTAGAAAACAAAAGTTATATGAGTAGTGGTAAGTTATTAACATCTGCAAAGTATTTCCGGTACTTGATTTTATCAGTTTGTTTTAGATTTTTCCCCCAACATATTGCAACTTAGTGTTAATACTTTGAAAATAGGTCTGTCAAACAACCCCACGTATCCGTGACACAAATCACATGTTTCTTGAACTTCCTTTGCTAAGAAATAAACTGGAAGAATATATCAACAAGACGTCTGTGGCCGGATCTTGGAGCCAAAATGCTATTCAAGCAACAAATGCTTGGCTTAAGGAAGGGTTGAAACCTCGGTGTATTACAAGAGATCTAAAGTGGGGGGTTCCTGTTCCCCTTGAAAGGTTCAAGGACAAGGTTAGTTGTCTTTTCAATCTTTTAATTGTAATAATTAGATGGTTTTCTATGATAAATATTTGTTAATTCCCATTTCAATTTTGTTAGGTCTTCTATGTCTGGTTTGATGCACCTATAGGATATGTCTCCATTACATCATGCTACACAAATGAATGGGAGAAATGGTGGAAGAATCCAGAAAATGTGGAGCTTTTTCAATTCATGGGCAAGGATAATGTTCCTTTCCACACGGTTCGTGTCCTAACCATTAAACTTTCCTTATTGACTGTAGAAGAGATCTACTCTTTTTTTAAAAAAAAAAATAAATGATTTTACGAAAGGCATTTTCACCCTAACTTCTGAGAATGAAGGACCAACATGGCATTTTTATCTAAAAATAGTTTTCTGTTTCTTAAAATTGAAAATGTAATTTAAATGCATCTGGCAACATTTGGGATCTTTTTCTCTTTCACATATTGTAATAAATCAGTTGTCTCATCGAAGTATATATATTCTTGTTAATTTTAACTTTCCCAATCAGAATTCCAGTTTCCATTATGAACTGCTGATGGCTCTCTTCATACCCGTGATTTAGCATGACCGTTGAAATACGTCTCTCTCACTCATAAATTGGAACTTATATTTGTTAATGTCCCTGGAATATAATCTGATTCAGGTTATGTTTCCTTCCACTCTTCTTGGAACTGGAGAAGACTGGACCTTGATGAAAACCATTAGTGTTACTGAATATTTAAACTATGAAGCAGGTAACAGTCAATGATTTAATCGGTACATATTTTTTTACCTATAATTCATCTGTATATATGAATGATTTATATACATGATTTGGAAACATGTTTCTGTAAACATTTATTCTGGATTTCTCTTACAGGAAAATTTTCTAAAAGTAAGGGCGTAGGAGTCTTTGGTAATGATGCAAAAGATACAAATATTCCCGTAGAAGTATGGAGATATTACTTATTAGCTAATAGGCCTGAGGTAAATTTGCAACTTTCTTGACTCTGGCATTCGTTGCTCCATTTATAAATAAATATATATATTTTTAAATATAAATTATGTTAAATTAGGTATCAGATACATTATTCACATGGGCTGACTTGCAAGCAAAGCTAAATGGCGAGTTGTTGAACAATTTGGGCAACTTCATTCATCGAGTTTTGAGCTTCATTGCCAAACCTTTAGGTTGGTACTTTTGTCTTCTTATTTCAGCTTCCTAAGGGCTTTTTAATTACTTCCGCTTTAGAAACAAAATTTTCATCTGGTGGAACTTGTAGGCATTTATATAGCTACTAGGTAGAAATGAGTTTTGTCAATTTGTTAAAGATGTTTAAACTAATAAGGTTAGACACAGGTGCTCGATTGAGTGGTTGTGCTTCTTATTTTGAAGATCCGATCATTCCAAGTGGGCACCATATTTTATTCTAGCAAGATCTATGACATGTTTCCAAGCACTATGTTGACTCCTATCTAAAAAGCAATAAGAATTCCTAAAACTTATTACGTTTTTGTATGAAGAGTTACTGCAGTTTCCTACAGTTAAACATATTTGAATTCTCTATTTACAGGGCAGGGTTATGGTTCAATTATTCCTGATGTATCTGATGCGGACTCTCATGGATTGACATTGGGTTTGGCTGAGAAAGTGGGTAAATACGTTGACCAATATATGGAATCAATGGAGAAGGTGACTTTTTTTTTGTTAACAAATTGAACTTCATTTTTTGTAATGCTTTTTTTTTTTTTT